TACTGATTGACCAGTTTCTGTAAGCAGCTCTTCATTGATCTTTATCTTCCATGTGTTAGTGCTCTGATCCCAGATCACTCCGGTTATCGTGCAGAGAATTTTTCTCCCAAATCTGTTTTTCTATGGAGGTAATTTGTGTCCAGGTCTCACAGCCATATATTAGAACTGTTTCCATATTCCATTATTAAATGGTCACTGACATACTATATTCATATTCAGTGACAATTATTAGAGCGAATTTTTTTTTGAGTGCATATCGTCAACACCGTGTGAATGTGTGACGAATGTTAGCGTGCCTACTGTTTCATTTGAAAAAAAAAAATGATAATGTCCCTGTATTATTCATAATGTCATAGCTAGGTTTCGGTTCATTAAGTGTCTATTTTAAAAAAATTCCGTCTTCCTTGAGGAAATCGGGAAAAATATTTCGAATCGAGGAATAGCTCCGTAAGGCACTGTGAATTCTCCACGTCTCAGTTTCGTGTCCAGTTTTTTGGCAGTTCGTTATTTATTCTGTAGTGTTCGTTATTTACTCTGGGGTGCAAGAACCCTTCTGGGGCGCACTCAGTCTTTATAAAGTGAGTACTTTTGTAGGGAGGATTGAGATTAAGGGGGCTTGGCGATTGAGCGTAATCTCGGTCAAATCATTTCCTTGCTGAGTACTGAATCCAAGACCCTTTATGGGTTGTAGTGGTACACGTTCTTGATTTAATCAAGAAACTGTTCTTAATTTATCTAGGATAATTATTGTACTTGTTATAATATACATTTATAATATTTATTCATAATGTTCTGTAGTGTCTTGTTCTTTGAAATAATACAATTTGCATAATATCCATGTTATGCAAATAAATTTTTATTAACTTTCAGGACTATTACCAAAGCTCCCTGGTACGTCAGTAACATTACTCTACATAAAGACTTACAGATGCCAACAGTTAACGACCACATACGAACATACTACAAACGATTTCATAATAACTTACACGGACATACAAACCCATTGATTCGAGGCATGGCCACAACTAACATGCCCGATAGCACCCGAAGGAGGCTTAAAAGAAGCTGGATGAGGGATCTCCTCCACTAACTAGAAATATTACGCTCAAGACAGGAAGGACGCCGCTGGGTACTCCTCTCCCTCACGCCTATTCCAAGACCAATCTCTTCATCTTGACATCACACTCGCTGATTGTCGGAACTTCTGACAGGTGTGAGTTGAAGAATCAAGTCAAAAAAAAAAAAAAAAAAAAAAAAAAAATTTTTATTAGGGATGAAAAAGAAATATTACTTTGTAACATGGTTACTAAGCTAATTTTAATTATTTCAAAAAACAATACACTATATTTTTAGTTAAATATGACTCTTACCGTAGAGAGGTGGCAGCTTCATTGCCTGGTCTTGACACCACAAATAGTCACTGGTCCTCTAGGTTGGGGAAGCATTACACTGACATCAAACAATAATACTAATTACAGCACATTAATTACCCCCCCCCCTCACTCCAACAGTCAAAGGTCAATCACAGTACTCATCTCTAGTAGCCGCCCTGGATGAGGGAGCATGTCAGAATGCTCAGGAGAAGCAGCTCCTTCACTGGACTCATTAATCAACTCTCCTTAAAATACAGATATCAAGGAAGCCCAAAAAAGATTAACCTGACTAATCAATGGTAAACAACCTTGCAACCGTCAATTGGACCGTGAAACGTTGGGAAGTACACATATAGTATAGCTGTGATGAACGACTTTATAACTTTTGGGAATGTGCATATGGTACAAGAACGTTGGACGTCCTAAACTTAGCGGGGAGGACGGAGTGGCTACCGACGTCAGATCCCTGATGAGTGTCCGAAACTGGAAAGTAGCGGCAGAGAACAGAGAGGAATGACGATCTATAATCGGGCAGGCTTTGATTCAATAAGTGGGTCGTAACGCCATATAATAATGATAATTAAGTATGACAAAATATTATATATGGGTTTTTAATTATGTTGGTTCGTTATCTTTGATTGGAACTCTTAACATGGAAAACTACGAAACGTTGGTTCAATAATGTTATTATAAATAAATACATTTGAACGAAAGTATTTTATTCATTAAATATATATATTTACATATACTTTCATTAAAAAAAAAAATAAAGAAAAACAGAAAATTAGAAGTTGAAACCTCTGACACCCAGCAATTAAAATCACCTGCAAAAATAAAATTAATACTCTTGTGACTATTTTCATTTGTAATTAAAAGTGACAGCAAAAAATGTAGCCGGTCTGTAGTAATTAAAACAGAAAACCTAAACCAAATACAGTCCCTTGCCCTTGTCATGCCTCAGCACATAGTATTAATTCATTTCTATTTATTTAAATACTATAATTAAGTACAACTTTCAAATAAACTTCGAGAAAAATTTACAATAAATTAAAGTCTTTCATTAAAATATTCCTTTTTTTAAATATTTATTCACTAGTACATACTTAAATTATGCATCCTTCATTAAAATTTTATATTTTGATTTTGCTAATAGTAAAATTAAATTTTGTATAAAAAAGTTTAAATTCGAGTGATTGAGAGTTGAAAAGTGGAATTTATGGATAGGAGCGAAGGAGAAAATTTCGGGTGATGACCTCCGAAATTGAAAATTAATTATTTTCTTATTATTCTATTTTTTTATGTGATCTTTGCGAAACACTTAAACGAATAAACTTTGTTTTATCTGTTAATTATAACCCTTGTAGTTCAGCTAGTAAATTTAAGCACTTTTGTAGAAAAATAAATGAATTTTATCCCCAAAAGTGTTATTGTTCCTTTAATTACCATCAATTTAAAAAAAAATCTAATGTGTATGCTTTAGACCACAAGATAGAAGTGAAGACATCAACAAGATGAGATAATATGAAATATAAATCATAAGTCATACATCATTACAAAGAGTGAAAACGACGACTTTTAGTTTCTGAGATATTTTATTCCACATCTCCATTAAAACTAGTTATCATTTGGTTTTCGGCGCTATTTTTTTTATTTTCGCCACTCTAAGACGGAGTCACGTTAAGATACAATTTTGATTTGTAGCTCATTACAGAGAGGATGAAATGCTTAACGATTCCCTCGCTTACAGTATCCATATGCAAAAACACTTCAATCAGTCAACCCCAGCCGACTTTATCCGAGCGTTATACGTCGGTAGATCTGACGTCTCAATCTAATTCACTCTCCACAAAAAAAAAGTTCAAAACGCGCCTAAAGCAGTTTTTACTTCTAAAAACTGTCAGACCCCCGCCAAAAGTAAATCCAGGATTCGCTACAAACATGAGTGTAAGATTTTACTATTAAAATGTTTATAGTGTGTTTACTATGGTACGTTAATAATGTTTCGAAGAATTTTTAATTGTATTGTTTGTATGTATTTGGTTTGCTGAATCATTAATTTCTGCTTCCTATGTCCATCCATATAGGTCTCAGTCCTGTGTTATTGGGTAAGTCGCTTGTTTCATAATTTAATTGAGGATCTGCAATCCAAGAGATGTGGCAGCTGGTTAATTGTATTTTTTTTATATTATATATTCCAAGTTAGTCTCTTGTCCAATTATACTGTGACATAACTTACTTAGAGTTTTTAAAGCATTGGATTCCTGTCGATTGTTATAGGTTAACTTGAGATCTTCGAAAGAAATTAGGGTAGTTTGATTTGGTGGCATTTATTCTCATTTGATTCATTCTGAAAAGATAATTTTTGAAAACATTAGCCGTTGCTACAAACGTTCTTCCCTTACTATAGACATGTGATATATTTGATTAATTAAGTCTATGCCTGTATTTAAGTTGTTTAGTTTATCTTTTTGTTTATATTTACAGGGTGTTTCTGGACTAAGTGGCCAAACTGGGATCAAAAGGAAATCACTTCGAACAACATTTAATATGAACGTTAATGATTACATTAAATTAATAAAGTAGTTAGAACAAATAAATAGATTTTATTTATTTCATATAACGTAAATAATTCATAAAAACGAAAATCTTTAGGCGTGAATATCTCTAAAACAAAGCGTTTGCGGACATACCTTCACAGGTACTTTATTTCTTATTTTGAGGCAGCTCATTTTTGCAGTTTGGCCATTTAACCCTGAAGCATCCTGTATATAAACATATATATTCATTAATTTATTTTTAGTATTATTATTTTGCTGTTGTTCTATTTAATTATTTTTTCATTACACATATAGTGCTAATGAACTCCTATGCCACATACTAATCTAAACTAAGGAGTTGTGACAGAATATAGTATTATTAAATTGAGAAATATTTAAAAAAAAATTAATTAAGTAGCTAAAATTCGAAATAAAAAAAGAAACTAATTGTTAAGATATCATTGGACGATTTAAAAACATGGCCTTAGGTATCTAAAATAATAGTTAATAGTCAAATTTTTAACGTTTCCCTTTTCATGTATCATCACAACAGAAAAAAATAAAGCATCAAATCTCACATACTAAATCTAAATAAGATCCCCAAACATATTCTATATTCAGAATATTTTAGTAGTGCTTAAATTGGCGAAACGATGACTAACTGTTTTAAACCAGAATCATTGATGAATGGAGTCAATTATCATATTCTGTTAATATGTATATTCTATATTTCAAAATGTCAATTTTATATTTTAGGACTTAAAATAATTGTTACTTCAGTCCCATTCAGGGAAATATACAGTTGTCGAGTTACGTGTGAATATTTCGCGTGAATGCAATGTATCACGCAATAAAAGTTCAAATTAATTTTGAAAAGGGAAAATAAAACATTATTAGAAATGAAGAAATGCAGGAGCAGGTACAAAAAAGGCTGTCGCCATTTTCAATACAGTACCCACTCTCCCCCAACAGACGAATCTAATTGGTCGGCTAAAAGTGAAAGTCCCTTATCTCGAATGTAGGTCAGCCAATAGGAATCCAGGAATCACAGGACAGGTAATAAGGCGAGAAAGACAACTTTCCATTTTATGGCAACAATATAAATATATATATATTTTTAAGAAAAATGATGATGGCTTAATATTATTTTTATTTTGTCAACAAGAAGCATATATGAAGCCATTCATTACATATATATTCATTTCATTAAAAATAATTAATTCAAGAAAATAATTTTTATATTACGTATAAAAAAAAATATGCATTAAAAACAAAATGTACAATATAAATTAATTCAACTATATGGCACTAGGAACTTAAATACTATATACAATATTCACAAGATATATGGCAGTCTAAACTCATCAAACATTACATTAATAAGGTCACTTGGACATTTAAAGGGAACGTTCAAAGAAGAAATTTCAAAAACAGAAAATAAAACATTATTTAAAAAAATGAAAGTACTGAATCAAACATAAAATAGTTTAAATTATTTTGTAAATTATTGATTTAATGAAAACTTGGATGAATTTGCGTTCTTCTTCGGATCTATCCTTGTATTTGTCTCGTTCAACATCTGAAAAATAAGAAAAGAAAGAGATTATTTATAATGTTAAAAATTAATAACTATGAATACATCCTTTCTCCGCTTTCTGAATACGTTTACTCCACTAAGAATAATAGCAACGAACAATACAAGTGTCATTTGTCTGTAGTGAAATGTCAAGAAATAATTAAATTACAGAGTAATGTAATCTTAGAATTAAAATAAAGGATAAACATAAGTAAAACGATAAAATTATAGATAAATAAATATCATTATATTTACATATTTTTAGTTATAAGCAACCTACAAAATATATTGATAACTGTGGTAAAAATACGCTGAGAGCACTAAAATACGAACATTTAATTCTCACAAATATTCGAAAGATTAATTCCTCAGGAGATGGATGAATAATTGGTGCTTAAAACAAGTTTAATAAGTTTTGCGTATAGAATTTCAATACAATTTTTACTTTCCTAACGGTAATACTTACTAGGTAAGGAAAGTATTGCGATCGGGTAAAAATTCCGGTAGGTGTTTTTTAACGGATCTTTACGTTCAGTAGTCCCTTGAATTCGTAAAACACATTTTGAGCTGTTGGTCTGTCGGTCTATGCCAAGATTATCTCGGGAACGAGTTGACTGATTGTGTCGCTTCTTTATTTTTTTTTGTAGGATTTTGACTATCGAGGAGTGTGTAATAGATAGGCGCTGGCGTTCAATAGATGCTACGCAATAAGAGAAAAACACGTTTTTTCATAGACAGTAGAGCAAAAACGTTAGAGAAATTTGATGAAACATACCTATAATTTTCTACTTAAAAGTCTTTTCAATTTTTGAATATGTGGCAAATTCCCTAGAAATTATGAGTCAATTTTTTAAAGAAAAGAAAAAGGTTTGGAGCTGAATTCCCAAATTATTATTATGCATTTTATAATAATGTTGTATAGAATCTTTTAAAAGGTAATTAAATTACCTACAAAACAAATGATATATGACGAAACAAATTATACAAAATGATTACAGCTATCGCCTAGAACAGCCCTAATGTTGCTAGAAGACTAATGACGGAAGTAAAATAAGTCAAGAGGCGTTAAAAAAAGAAATATTCTAGCCACAATTAGGTAAGGAAAGTATTGCGATCGGGTCCAATTTCCGATGCTCGGTTTTCAACGGATCTTTACCTTTCAGAGCTGCCTGAGTCCGAAAAACACATTTTCAGACAATTTTTGAAAGCTTATTAAATTTCAGACAGTACTAAAACAAAAATGGTTTAAATCGATCCAGTTTTAGGAAAGCTACGGAGCATTGAATTTTGTAAGCTGATATTAATGATGGTTCACGTGCTTGTTTATATTTCTTTAGCTCATCAAGGCAATCGTACTCTAATAATTTCTCTGACCGGTTTTTAGAAAAATTAATCTAATTCACTTTGAAGTTTTATATATTTAAAGTTGTATAAATTTGTCCAAAATCTGTAGAAAATACAGCGTGAACACACCTGATTTTTCATTCGTGTTTTTGTAAAAACATTTTGAGTCAAAATCTATTATAAATTTTTTTTGATTTTATTTATTTGAATTTTATTATTATTATTTTCTTTTTAGTTAATTTGAACTTTTGAAGCTTATTGATTATTTGCAACCCTTAAGTTTTGTTTGTGTAATTAATTTTTGTTCTAATAATAATTAACATAAATCATCGGAATTATAACTTTTTTTATACCATACATTTTTTGATGATTTATTTGAATTTTTCTAATACAATGGGATTTTGCTATTTCTTATTTTATACAAACGAATATCGTTCTTTTAATTGTATTTCTGTGATTCGTCGAACTGTTTTGTGATTCCTAGTTAAGGGGGAAAATGGAAGAAATTTTGTTAACTCGAGTTAAAATTTTTTTTTTTAATTTTTGTGAAATCATTTTCTGCACTGTTAAGATATCAAAATCTTATGATGATATGGAAGTATAAAATAAAGTCCATGTTATATACAGATGTTTTTCATGACGTACATCCGTGTATAATTTTCATATTTTTCAGTAGAAGGGACTGAAGCGTAAACTATCAATATGCGGCAAGTTGTTGTTGAAACTAGAAATTTACATTAAACTATTAAAATCGCCTTGAGCACTGAATGTTTATTCACGCTGAAAATCTACGTATTCATTTGAGAGTAAATCATTCGAGAAATCTCTCTCTGCTCAAGATATTGCTAAATCAGAAGCCTTCTTCTTTAAGCCTGGGTAAAGTGGATCAATTAATTATGCAGCTTAAGCAAGCCCAATTCCGTTTTTGTCAAAAAATATAAACAAACCATTTATGACCATAATTTCTTAAATTCGAAATTTCATAAATACTCTTAAAGTCTAAAAAAAAAATTAGAAATTTTTTCATCGTTTTCGAACAAGATGATCGTACTTATTAAATTTCACTTCGAATTTAGTGAAATGTTGGAATATGCAAATTCGACCAAAATATTAAAAAAAAAAAGTCTGTTTCAGGTCAATAATTTATTTTTTTGCGCAACCCGTATCGGAACATAACTCCTCCCAATCAGCAAGCTTGTATCACATTCCAAATATAATAATTTGTGGTAAATAGGTTCCATTAAAGGATAAAATGTAATTTTTAGGATCCATATTTGGGCAGTGATAGCCATGTCGAAAGGTGGGCTCATTATAATTACTGCTTCGTCCGGGGCAAATCACCTGTATTTATTGCGTCACTGGCCAATCACCTCAATTTTACAAAATACCTTCCTCAACTTGACAAGGCGGGCTTATCGGGAGGAAAATGATTTATTGCGGTTATTTTATCTGTGTCCTTAATAAATTATTATTAAAGTGAATTATCAAATTAATGTTAGTATTGATCTGCTGATATGAAACCCGATACAAATTCAGAAAATTGTATGAGATCTTAACTATTAACTTTGAAGTATTAACAATAGATTATTTTTTTTAAATTTATTTATTGAGTATCACAACAATCTGTCTCTTGGGCATTGGTTATAGTGAGGTAGGATAACATTCACATTATATGTACAAAAAATGTTAAATAGATAGAAGCAAAATATTAATCAAAAGTATATACAATAAATAATAAAATAAAATAACCTAAAAATAAGAAAATTAAAACTAAGCAAAAAAACACAGGCATACCTATATACAAACAGGCGAGGGAACTCCAGGAGAACCCTGCGCTACTCTCTCAACCGCATCAATGGTACTAAAGCCAGCAGAGATTGGTCGAGAGCACTTTTTAAATAATTAATTCAGAAATAATTCTTCCAATAATTTAAGTTGGTATCCACTGCTATTTCTTATTATTATTATTTTTCTTACAGTTGCATTAGAAAAGAAGATATTTTCAATCAACTCTGTATGCGTCATTATGAATTTTTGTAGTTTCTCTGGGGTAGTCAGATGCTCTAGTTCCGCAATCAAAATTTTTTAGCTGGACTTACGTTTATGGGGTTTTGAATCTTCGAGGGAGGCACATCTTAATGGAGTTATTAATTTTTGGAAGGTACCATATTTGAGTTATAGTTATTTCAAAAATAACTTTCGAAGCAGGAACAAGTGATACAATGGAAGGAGAAAAGCATGCGTGTTTATATTCGATCTATTTTTTTTTCCAATTCTACTTTCGCTTGTACCGTTTTTAAGATGAGGAGAGCAATAAATATCTTAAGGAGAAGGCATGCCATCGACCTTCGGAAGGATGGGCTCCCCTCCAGTTACCTTCCAAGAGATGGACAAGCCAGAGTAATTTATGGAATATACTCATTCCAAAATAATCAATAAAAAGGATTCAATGAAGAATGATTCAGCCTCTAAGTAAATTAAACGGATTAATCTTTCCTGTAAAAAAAAAAGATAAAAATTTTTATTTTTAATTGATCCCAATTTTTTTCTTAGGTAAGGTATGACTGTTTTTTTTATGGTTTTAATTTACTTATCTTTAAGTTATTTTATTTTTTATTGTAAACACTTTTTTATTATTATTTAATTTTTGTTCATTTTATGTTTTCTGTATATAGGGTATGAATGTGTTCTTGCCTTAATATAATTATTGTCTGATTGAGAGAATGTTATATTACTGAATAAATAAATTTAAAAAAAAAAACATATATATATATATATATATTTTATGTGATTGATCTGAGTTAAATAGGTAGTTAAACTATCACAATATGTACCCTTTTTGAACTACAACGCATTTACAGCTACTTAATACAAATCATATTCTTATATAGGTGAGAATAAATTTTAGATGTTTTTTATTTATTTTTTATATTCACCTTTAATTTACTTTTTATTTACTGATTTTTAACTATTATCTATCCATCTATCATTTTATTTATGAAGACACATATTTTTTACTTTAATTTTAATATTATATATATTAATATTTGTTTCTTCATTGTTCTTTTTTTTTCTTATTTACTTTTTTTTAATTCGTTAATAATTACTTCTACTTGTTATTCTTGTATGTATATATTTTATGAATGCATATCTTTAACCCTAATACTGATTGCGATTGGGTGTGGCAGATGGTGTTATCATTTAATAAATATATAAAGAATCGAATAATCAAAAATATATAATAAATTATCGCTTAGCATTATCTCTTCTGTTTATTTTTATTTAATTGGGCCTTAAAGATTGTTAGTATAGTTTCTTTTATATTAATTGCCGTTACAAAAAAAGAAAAGAAATACAAAAAAAAATCAACTTAAAAAAAAATCTATCCTGAATCCGCTATTGCTACGATAAGACAGTTTTGTCCATGAAGCTTAAACGTGGAGATTGGCTCTTAATTAATATGTTAAACTGACATTATATGGATTTATTATATTTATCCAGTTATACAGGGTGTCCCTTAAGTAGATGGAAATTTTTATAGGAGTGATTGTAAGGCCTGTAATTGTAGTCATTTTTGCTGTAAACATGGATACTTTTACTTGACAGGATAAAAAATCACATCGTTCTTTTACACAGATGAATCTCAAATGTGTCCCTGA